GACATAATTGATTGGGAACCACTATATCTCACCTTAACTATAAATGGTAGAATGATATCCTCACAAGGAAAGGCAAACTAGTAGTGGAAAATGATACGAGATTGAAGCCTTAGGTCTATTCCATAACAATGTCTTAGAAAGTCACTTAAAGATGACAATAACAACCAAAAAACTAGGAGTTTTTTATTAGAAGAGGCAACGAAAGAAACATTAAACAATACGAAGAAATTGCCTAATTTATCAAACAAACAAACTAGAATTGGTGGTCACCCCTGGTTTATTACAACCACTCCATATACCCCCAAAGGGTTTTCATAGACATCTCTTTGGACTTTATAGAAGGACTCCCAAAGTATAAAGGAAAAATAATAGCATTTGTGGTAGTTGATCGTTTAAGCAAATATGCTCATTTTATGAGCTCCCCTCATCCCTACACTACCCATATGATGGCTCAGCTCTTCCTAGACCAAGAGTTTAAACTTCATGGATTATCAAACTCTATTGTTAACAATAAGACCCTATCTTTCTTAGTGTCTTCTAGAAAGAACTATTTTATCTTAATGATGTTGAATTACACTACTCTACTGACCTACCACCCCTAATTTGATGGGAAAAATAAGGTATTCAACAAATGTGTGGAGACCTACCTAAGGTATACGGTAAGTGATACACCTATAGAACAATCAAAGTGGCTTCCTTTGGTCGAATGGTGGTACAATACCAATTTTTTTATCTACAAGGTTTACACCATTGAGGTGTTGCATAGGACTCCACCCCCTATCCATCTATCTTATTTCCCCAAAGACTTCCAAATCGAGTCCGTGGACTTCTATCTCACATCTCGAGAAGTCTTACTTTAACACTTCAAGCACAATCTCCAAAGAGCCCGTAACTACATGGTCCAGATTGCTAATCAACATTGGATAGATCGCCAATTACTCTACATATCACATTCCGTCATTAGAAGGTAGTTTCATAAGCTATATGTTAAATACTACAGATCCTTTCATAGTAGAAAATATGGTGAGAAAGGTTGCTTATCGATTGAAGTTATCCCCTTTAGCTTCAATTCACCTAGTGTTTGACGTTTCCTTTTTGAAGAAATCGATTGGGTCTTCTTATATGATCAAAAAACTCCATGATCTATACCTAAGCTCTCCTCCTTAACCACCGATAGTGTTTTATAAAAGGATTATCAAGAAAAGAAACAGAGTAGTTGTTTAGTGATCGATCCATTAGCATAACCTTTCTCCAACAAATGCTACCTAGGAGTTTGGAGATGAGATCAATAAACGATTCCCATTATTCTCCCTCGAGGACCTAGGTGATTTGAAGGAGAAGATATTCATACATGTAGAGAGAGTAAACGAGCGGAAGGAACCCAATTGAATTAGGAAGAAAAGAAACGGTGCACAAAATCCCTAATTGAATTGGGGATTCTTCAAATAATATATGAGAAAGATTTTTATGGGGTGGGCTTAAGTTACTTGGGTCGGTTTTATTGTTAGTTAAATTTATGTTTTGGACTAGTCATAATAGGTCTGAATATCATAGAGTCATTTGCCTTGTAAAATTTGTTAGTTGTTTTTATCTTTGTAGTATAAAGAACAAACAAATGGAATGAAAATTTCCTATAACAAACTTTTTCCTCTCTCATTCTTCTCCTGTTTTCTTCTTCTTCTTCTCCTCTCTCTCCCCATGTCTACTCTTCTTCCCCAAATCCCTTTCTGCAATTTTCTTGTATCACTTATCAACTCAAAGAGAATAGCCCATATGGATCTTATGTGGCAGCTTACGTAGCTCAGACAGACACGGCTTCACTTGAAGCCTATTGTTTCCATGAGATGTGTTATATTTTTTTTACTTGGCCAATGTAAAGATTCGGCCTATTATAGTGAAATGATATTAGGCCCATCATTTTATTTATTTTACTCATTCTGCTAAAAGAGATAATGTCTTTTTTTATTTATTTAGATCGATCTCAAAATATTTATTTGATTAAAAAATTTTAAAATTGTGTATTGTTTAACAAAATATTATTAATTTTAGAATTTTTAATTCAATGACTGAGGCTGAAACGTCGGCTTCATTAGTTTCTAAAAGATCAGGCCCAATTCCATGTTCAACATGACTTTTTGTAATGTGAAAAAATAAAAAATCATGTAGATTCGTATATTAATATGTTATCATTTTAATTACAATGATTATGTTACCATTTGTATGATTCTTGTATTAAAAGCAGTTAATTAATCAAAATCATCTATCATCAGCTTAATTATTAATTAAATTCTTATATTGAATTAATTTGCTTAATACAGACTTTTTGTTTATAAGGTCTTTGACAAGGTTATGTAAATTATATAATTAAGTGATCCGCATTATTTGAACACGTTGACCTCTTTAATTATTATTTTTATTATAGAATATATTTACTTAAATTTTTTAAAAATCAAAATAAATTTGTTTACCTTTCATACAAGAGGAGGTCAAAATTAACTCCTCATTCCGTTGGTAGATATTATGATTGGCTCTTCCTCTCCTCTAACACTAACAACTACTAATCATGTCCATGGAAAGGGAAAAAGAAAATAACTAGACAATTTTTCTCTTAATAGATATGTATGTAACATGGCTTTATTCTTTCCGTCCTAAATAGATTATCTGATTTTCTATTTTTGTTTGTTCTAAAATAATTATTTAGTAAAAAAAATCAAAGCATATATCTTCCAACAATAGTTTTAATTAAAATCTACTTTGTAAGAGATCTAAAGCCGAAAATTATAAATTTTAAACAAGTATGAATAAAGTGTGATGATAAATATACATCAATTAATAACTTTTTTAACTGCTATGAAAAGTCAACTATGACAATAATTGGAATTAAAAAAAATGTATGTTTATTAAATAAAGAATGGGGAAATTTTAAAATACTCTAAAAGCAATATGATTATCAATACTTACACGCTCATTTTAAAAAGAAACCAATATAAAAAGATGAGAGAAAATCACATCTAAACTTACTAAAAGTAATAAGAATATATTTTTTTAAACTCATTATATCCGAACTTACTAAAAATGATAAGAATATTTCATTTAAACTTAATTTGTATTTTAATTCTATTTCTTTTAAAAGTAATAAAAATATTTTCATTCATACTAAAAAATGGAGAAATATGTATAAATAGAGGTTGTTAAATGGATTGGATCTTAATCCAAATTCGATGTGAATCGATATAATTAAATAAATATGATAAACAATGTTTTCTATCAAATCCAAATATGATTCGAATTTGTTAACTCATTTATTAAATAGATCAAATTCGAATCTACCTTGATCTAATTTGATTATAATCCAACCCAAAATTTAAAATAATATGTTTTATAATAAATATAATATTTTAGAAATATTAACAATTTAAATATGAAATTAGGTTGAAAAATACATAAATATTTTTAAGAGTTGGTGTTATTATATTTTTTATTACCCTATTTTTTCTATAAAAAAAACATCACAAAAAAGAAAAAGAAAAGAAGAGTAAGAAAAAGAAAAAAAAAGACTAGAAGAAAAAAACCAATTGATTGGAATCAAGAAAAAATTAAAGAAAATAAAAAAGGAGGGCCGATTAAAAAAAAAAAAAAAAGGAAGAAAGTCAAGGAAATTTGGAGAAAATTTGTAAAATTAGAGTTCTTTTCCTAAATAAGTTAAAAAAAAAAAAAAAAGAAGAAGAAGAAGAAGAAATCGTCGATTCGACATACTCGAGTATTTTGAGCGTAACTTTCAGTATAGAGATCCAATTCATGTGATTATCCTGCATATTTACTTTAAGAGATTCTGGAGGCAACAACTACTACAACTGATTGACTTCGAAATTGAAATAGAAAAACCTATGGTATTTTAGTAACTCAAATTCATTACATTTCTACTCTTTATGCATTAATTAATTATTAAAAATATATGATAATATCAAGAAATTTTATTTATTTTTTATTTTTTTTGCAAGCCTTGATTTGTAACACTATCATCTTGAAATCCGAATTAACAAATATTTATTTTGTTATCATGTGGACAAAAAATAAAGATTATTATTATTATTATTTTAGTTTTATTGTACTTCCTATCTAGTTCAAGATAAATTTTTATTAAGATTATTTGATTTTGTGATTTTAAATTATATGTTATTTTAAATTTTGTTTTTTTGTTTACAAAATTGATAGATAAAATATTATCTTAATATATCTTATAATACATATAATGGTCGAAATATATGTTATATTCAAGCAATATATTTTATTACTTTGATAGAGTTTTGAATCTAATATACATCCGTTAGGATCCGAACTTGAATTTATATTTTTAAAATTCTATTCGAATTCATAAAATTCAATATATTTCATTAAATAAATCAAATTCGAATATATTATGATTCGATCCGAGTAAAACCCGCTGATGGCTCTATATACAGAAATGGACAAGTACTTATTGAATACAATCCTTAAATATGTAAACAAAATTAACTATTTACCTTGTTTAGAATATGGGCATTTTTATGTCAAATCATATCATTTACAAGTAATAATACTTTTCTCCGAAATAGATAAAAGAATTGCTTAGTAACTACTTACCTTATTTAGAATATGTGCCTTTTTATGTCAAAACAGATCATTTACAATTCACAAAACTTTTCTCCGAAATAGATCGAAGAATTGCTCAGAGAATAAGTTGGCACACACTCACATATATAAACAAAGTAACCTTAATATATGGAGAGAGCCATTCTCCATTTTCTCTTGATTTAGGTCCAATCATACCAGCTCCAACCGATATATGACTGCAAGTAGATGTGATTATTTGTAAAACCCCCCATTCTTAAGGAAAAGGTAATCATGGTTATGACTTGATGATCAGCTTTTAAAAGAAAAGCCAGCTAATACAAATATACTTTCATAGATATAGAAAATCTTTAAACTCAATCCAAAAAATTCCCAACAACGACACGAAGATGGAAGGTGTAAACACGAAATGGATAGCCACGGTTGCAAGCATATGGATTCAAATCAGCGTTGGTGCATCCTACACCTTTGGCATCTACTCTTCCATCCTCAAATCTTCTCAAGGCTACGACCAATCAACGCTTGACACCGTCTCCGTCTTCAAAGACATCGGTGCCAACGCAGGCATCCTCTCCGGTCTCCTTTACTCGGCTGTCACTCTGCGAAATAACAGAAGAAGATTAGGTGTGTTTGGTGGGCCATGGGTGGTCCTCTTGGCCGGTGCAATCCAGTGCTTCGTTGGGTATTTCGTGATGTGGGCATCCGTTGTTGGGTTGATTCGCCGCCTGCCGGTGCCGGTGATGTGTTTTTTCATGTGGATGGCTGCTCACGCGCAGACGTTTTTCAATACGACGAATGTGGTGAGTGGAGTTCACAATTTCGGCGACTATGGTGGGACAATCGTTGGCATCATGAAGGTATGTATGCCTCTTGTTACCATGTTTTTGTTTTTGTTTTCTTTTGCAGTCCTTCTGCGTCTGGTTTTTGATATTATTTTTTAAAAAAAAAAAAAAATTTGGGCTATCTACAGAATTTCTTATTTGTTTGGTGTGATTTCTGTTCGTGACCGGATAAACATAAAGGTGTCCAAGGTTTATCATGACTTTGCACATGCCAAGGATTTTCCTGTCTGTTGGGATCATGTCATTAGTGATTTGATTAGTAAAAAGAAATTAAATTATATTAAAAAAATAATCATACAAGAATTATGTTTTTATTTGAAGTTCATTTACCATCAACAACATCATGTCACGAGTGATTCTTTCTTTGTTAGTTATATCATGTTGGCATATAGTGTGATCGCCAGACGCAAATGGAAATCCTTTTTCTTTTCAAAATGAGTCAATTATAACTTAACTTTCTTTTTTCTTTTATCCGATTGTAATAGTATCCTTGAGACAGATTGCCACCCAATGGAAACTAAACTTTTTTTTTTTTTGGATGATTTTAATGACTTGCCCTTATTTTGACCTATTACATTAAGGGGGAAAAAAAAGTAATTGGTCAAATTATTTTAAATGTTGATTTCAAAGTTTTAATTTAAAAAAAAATAAAAAAAGCAAATTTTCTTATCAACCGGACCAATCCTTTGAATTTAATAACAAAAAAAAACTAAAATCAATTATTCAATCCTCAAATTTTTTGAAATTATATTTAATTTTTATAAGTTTTCAACTCAGTTATAGTTCATCTTCTCCAATTTTATGTTATTCTTCAATTTATTTTATTTTCAAAAACTAGATAAAGAAAATAAAAGACATTCTGATTAGGAAATTTAACATTCATGCAAAATATATATATATATATATATATATATATATTGATGAAATTGAAGTTGTCTTTACTGGTCAAAGTAATATTTTAAATATTTAAGATATTATAGTTAATTTCAATAAACTATAAAAATTAAAGTTATAACAAATTTATCAATTGTTTTTTTTTTTTTAAATTCATGACAATAATAAGTCCAGTAAAAAATTACCCTAGGTCTTACAAAAAGGGTCTTCGTTCGCGGGTTGACAGCGATAAATGTGTGGCCTGGGCTGGGTTAGCATAAAGTAAAAGCTACATAATGTGTGGCTGCATTCATTGCACATCAGCATTAGCCAACGGCCTGAATTATTGCTCCTTGCTTGGGTGATGGGATTGGTAGAACAAAAGACGAATCTATGTGCATCAAGTATTTTCATTGAAGTGGTAGTGTAAAAATTGCCACGTCAGGTTGATAAGCTTATCTCTTTTGTCCTGACCTTTGAAGAAGAGTAATTATCAATTAGTCCCTTTAAGTTTGGAGAAGCAAATTAATTAGTCTTTTTTATTTTACACATTAATTATTTAATCATTTAATTAGGATTAATTATATTTAATTTAATATTATTTTATTTTTAAAAAAAAATTTTATCAATTTTTTGTAGTATATTTTTTTCTATTTTTTGTTATAAATAGATAAAAAAATATTAAATAATTAGTTTTGCAACATGAGAGACTAATTAATTTTTTTTTTAAATATAAGAACTAATTTATAATTTATTTCCTTGAAGAAGCTTCAAAAATAACGCAGCTTAGTTTTTCTTTAATTTTTTTTTCCCCTAAAAACATTAAATGTTAGCGAATTTGAGATGTCTCAGGACATCATATTTCCTTCAAACTGAAATGTAATGTCTTTTTAAAATAAAAGAAATCGCATTCCTTTCAAAACGAAAAATATAATGTCCTTTTAAAATAGAGGAAATCACATTACTTTGTGGAAGCAAATACAATTTTTTTTAAATGTCTATATTTTTTGTTTTGAAAAGACTAAAATGCTTTTATTTTATCAATAGTAACCCAATTACCATAACACTTTAACCTATGATTTTAAATGTAATTAATATATTATATATTTGTTTATGTGCATAATTATTTTTTTAAAAAAATTCCATGTTCCCAAATTAGATATTTTAAGTTTCAACAGTAATATTTTAAACTATTTAAATTTCTCATGAATTTTCATAGATACTAATTACTTAATTTCAATAAGCTATAAGAATTAAGTTAAGTTATAACGATTTTTTCTTTTTTTCTTTTTAAATTCATAACGATAATAAGTCCAGTAAAAAATTACCCTAGGGCGTAGAAAAATGGTCTTCGTTCACGGGCTGACGGCGATAAATGTGTGGTCCGGGCTAAAGTCAAAGCTACAAAATCTTTTGTTTTGTTTTTTTTTTTTTTTCGTATGGAATGATAGAAATAAAATGCGCTTAATCTGGTTAGGTCTAATTGCCTTTCTTCTAGTATTCAAAGCTATTTATTTTGGAGGCATATATGATTCCTGGGCTTAGGGGAAGGGTGGGGGAAGAAAATTACCAACTTGACCCTTAGCCCAAGTGTTATTTTTTATTATTTACAAAAATTTCTTTTAGGAGGAGAAGGTTAGATTGTTAGCGTGGATGATTTGAAAGATATAATTGGAGAGCATGGATGGTTAGGTTCCATTTGTATACTTGGTGAAATTTGGCATAAGATAACCAAACCCTTTACATGGGCTTGCTGTGCATTTGTATGGTTTGGGAAGGCTTACTTGTCTTTCTTTTTTTAAAAAAAATCATAGTGTACTTGCCTTCATTCATGGCTGCTTTCATTGCACATCAGCATTATCCAACAAAGTAAATTAAGGTTCATTGCTTGGGGTAATGGGATTGGTAGAGCAAGGGACATGTCTATCTACTTCAAGTATTTTCATTGAATTGGTAATGTGGAAATTGCCACGTCAGGTTGACCAGCTGATAACTTTGTCCTGATCTCGAAGAAGAGTAGTTATAAATTAGTCTCTTGAGAAACAAATCGAGGAGTTCTCTTTGTTTTAAAAACTAAATATTTAATAATTTAATCACTATTAAACATTTAATTCAATATTATTTTATTTTAGTAATTATAAATTTTTTCATTAATCTTTATATATTATCTATTTATATTTTATTTTTTAAAAACAAAAAAATTAACAAATTAGAAAAGAGTATAGAATAAAAAAAATTAAATAATTAGTTTTTGAAACGTGACTAACTAATTAATTTTATTTTTTAAAATATAGAGAAAAATCTATAATTTACTTCCTTGAAGAAGCTTCAAAAAAAAAAATGTTATTGCTTTGTATTCATGATGCTAAGTCGCACAAGCACTGTTGTTTTTTAATTTATACATTTTGATTTTAGCCTCTAATTTATGGAAGTGTTTGGTAGGGAAACATTTTAGTTTTTTATTTATTGAACAATCTTAAATGTCAAAAATATTTATTTTTTTTTAAAAAAAAACATTAAATATTAGCGAATTTAAGATAATATCATATTTCCTTCAAAGCTAAGAATGTAATGTTCTTCTGAAATAAAAGGAATCACATTCCTTAGAGGGAGAGAATGCATTTTTTTTTTTTTAGACTTTAATTTCCTTATTGTTTATTTTAAAAGGTCTGAGATGCCCTTATTTTATCTACAATAACACTATTACCATCACACTTTAGCCTATAGTTTTAAATGTAATTAATATATTATATATTTGTTTGTGTACATATTTTTTTTTTTTAATATCGTGAGCAAATTAAATATTTTAAGTCTCAAGAGTAATATTGCAAACTATTTAAATTTCTCATGCATTATTCATGGATGAACGAAACACAATAAATACACATTAGAAAAATTTTATGTTTCAACCAATCACAAATATCACAAGTAAATTATAAATTAGTCCTTTTAGTATTCTAAAATAAATTAAATAGTCCTTATAGTTTTAAAAATTAATCAATTAGTTTTTATATTTTTAAATCTATTTATAACTTAATATTTTTTTGTTATTTTCAATTTATTTTGAGTTTTTTATTTTAAAAAATAAAAACCCCCATTAAAGGAAAAATATGAAAGAATTGGTAAAAAAGAAAAAAATTTGTAATAAAATACTATTAAATTAATCACAGTCCACATTTGATAAGGGATTAATTAATTAGTTTTTAAAATAAGAAAATTTATGTAATTAAATTTTACAAAACTAGAGAGACTAATTTATAATTTACTTTAAATATCACATTCTCAGCTATAACATTTTTAAAGGATGTAGATAATTTGTATAACAAACAAAAACATCATCTATAAGTATTTTTATTAACATATTTCTGTCATTTAACTGTTGAATGTCATATACAAGTCAAATGTCTTTTTAAATATCATTAAACAAGGGTTAATTTCTTGATGATAAATTTATTATTATAGTAAATGATAAAATTATGTTAATATTGGTGGTGCTTAATTTTTAAAGTTTTTAATCAATTTTTTAATGATGTTTTGACATTTTACAAAAACATATGCAAGTATATATATATTGGAAAATGAATATAATGCATAAAAGAGATATCGATCACAACATTATTTTATAATTCAAAGGCTGAAAAAAAAGGTGTTAATTCAAATATTATGTACGAATTCAAAGATATCAATAAAAACCTTTCATTATATCCATCCTACACTTAAAATTATCTTTTGCTTTATTTCTTTTTCCCCCTTTAAAGAGAAACATTTAAATTTCTTGATCACACCTGAATTAAATTTGAACACAAGACAATGACTTGCGCTATAACGACAAACGCACCTTTCAATCAATAAAATCAGTTCATTGCATTTGTAATTGAATACATATAGGGACGGTCAAAGTTAGGGTACGTAAGGGCAGTCGACGTCCAAGAGCTGCCGGTTGAAAAAGCACTGCCTAACTGAGCTGCCAAACTCTTGCCCATATTTTTGGCGTTTACGAGGAAGCAAAACTTTTACTATTGTTTTTTTCAGCAAGTGATAAGAAGCTTTAGATTTCCTGAGTTGTGTCTTTTGTTGCCGAGGGAACAAAATTAGGATATAATCATACTTAGTTTTGCATCACATTCACATCATATAAAAATATCCATCTTTAAACTAAATTTATCAAATTCTTCTAAATATATAATATCAATGATTCGGTTGCATTGAATCAAGTAAGAGGGAGAGTGAGATTTTCTATCTTTATTCTGTTCACCAAATACAGCCATTGGAATTTTATTTCTCATACTTGCCAATTAAAGACCAAACTTGCTCTTGAGGCCTTGAATTTATTAATTTGTTTCCTTACTTTTGAGACAATTTGAAAATCCTAATTACTCTTTATAACGAGGGCAAATCTTATATTAGTCTACAAACTATAATTCAAATCTCAATTGAGTATCTAAAGAATTTTTTTTTTTTTCTCAATTGGGTCTTCTTAAAAAAATTTTCAGCTGAGAATTTCATAGGAACAAATTTTCAGTTAAGTTTATCAGTCAAATTTTTCGTCTAGTGATGACTTGTCAGTTAACTCAGAAAACTAAATGACTATTTTTTTTTTTCTTCCTCTGAAATTCTTTTATTATTAGAGTACATGTTTATTATATGATTATATTTATTTTCCGACTTAACCTCTCGTCCTTAACCGTTTCCTTTCTCCTGTTTCATAATTGAGTTGGTTTTGAAATCATTGTATACTCTGATGTTATATACTTTGGGGTCACCCATGGTGAATTGAAGTACCCTTGAACCTGAGAGCTAAGGGGTGTGTGAAGAAAGCTGACTCCACAAAATAATGGATATGTTAAGGTCCTTACACTCAGCGGGCCTAAATCATGCTATACTTATTTAGAAGCCAATCCTACTTGACAAAATTGATCATTTATAGAGGGAAGGGGTACTTGAAAAATTAGAAGAAGCAAAGTCTTCTTAGATTGCAGTACTCTCTCTTTAAAATATGTTTTAATAAGTTTATTGTACTTCTTTCAATAGAATCAAGAACAATGGATAGAATTTGATTTATTTATTTATTTTTGAGAAAGACTTTTTGATACAATTCAGTTGGATCTGGCTTGAAGGGATGCTTTACTAATCATGGCACTTGAACTCAATATGCTTAACTTCATGAAGATCATTACCATGAGAATTTCAGAAGACAAAATTGACTCACATCCTTTGTCACTCTTTGATAGTGAATAGTTCCTTGCAATTGCATTGTTTTTGTACGTAATGGATCCTACTTGTTGTCCTCTAAACTTACAGTTACAGGACCACGAAATTGTAGGATTCTGTGTGTGGTTTTTAATGCTTCCAGATGAATGTTCCTCTTTGATATATCACATATTCCTGAATTCGCATTTGCAGATTACTCTCCTTTTTCATGCTCTTCTTGCCATGCTCTACTGTTTGGTATAATTTACTATTTCCAATTCCTGTCCAGGGCTTTCTTGGTTTGAGTGGAGCAATACTAATCCAATTCTACCAAACAGTGTGCAATGGTGATCCTGGCACTTTCATTCTTCTTCTTGCGCTGACACCAACTCTAGTCTCTCTCTCGCTTATGAGTTTGGTACGAAACTATGACACAAAAACAAAAGATGACAAGAAGTACTTGAATGCTTTCTCTACAGTTTCTCTGATTATTGCAGCTTATCTCACAATCATCATAATTTTTCAAAACATCAGTACTTTTCCATTATGGGCGCACATAGTCATATTCACAGTTTTGCTGCTTCTAGTTGCCTCACCTCTTGGAATTGCAGTCAGAGCCCATAGAGAGGACTCTGATAGATACGCACAAGCATTACTGGAAGAGAGGGGTTACAAGTCAACGCCAGGGATGTCTTCTGAGATTTGTAAAGCAGAGGATTCTATAGATTATCATGAACTTCCTAGTGAAGAGGGTCAAGCAAAGGCTGCTTTGGATGATGAAAGGCTGTCAGATGAAGTAAACATGAATCTCTTGCAAGCCTTGTGTACTGTAAACTTCTGGTTGTTGTTTATTGCTATGTTTTGTGGCTTAGGTTCTGGACTTGCTATGATAAACAACATCGGTCAGATAGGAGAATCTATGGATTACACAGCCACTGAAAGAAATTCTTTGGTTTCATTGTTGAGTATATGGAACTTTCTTGGCCGTTTTGGAGCTGGCTTTGTGTCAGATATTTTCTTGCACAGAGGTGGGTGGGCAAGACCATTGTTTGTGGCTATTACTCTAGCAATCATGACTATTGGCCATATAGTTGTAGCTTCTGGTTTTTCCAAAAACTTGTACTTGGGTACGGTCCTAGTTGGTGTTGCTTATGGTTCCCAGTGGTCGTTGATGCCTACCATCACCTCTGAGATATTTGGGGTGGGGCACATGGGGACTATATTCAACACCATCGCCATAGCAAGTCCTGTTGGATCTTATACTTTCTCTGTAAGAGTCATCGGGTACATTTACGATAAGGTAGGAAGCGGTGAAGATAGTGCATGCTCTGGCACTAGATGCTTTATGTTATCTTTTATGATCATGGCATCTGTTGCTTTCTTTGGAGTTCTTGTTGCTCTCGTATTGTTCTTTCGGACCAGGAGGTTCTACAAGTCGGTCGTGTTCAGGCGTTTGCGACATTCTTAGGGACCATAAGAGGTGAAGGGCAGAAGATGACATTTTTCTTGTTCAAGTGGTTGCGTATGCAATGTGTGTGTGTTAGTCTGTAATATTTTGTTTTCTTATATTTTCTTTTTTGAGTGTTTGATTTCTCTCTTTCCTTTTTTTTACTTTTATTGATAGTTAAAAAAGGATTGACTGTAATTTTCAACCATTATCAATCAAAATCAAAAGGTATTCAATATGAAAGAAATAAAATATATTTTTTAAAATGAATTTATGAAGCTTTTGATGTCTCTCCGACAGCACTAAAAACTCTTCCAGAGAGAATTCATCTGGTAATAGATCAACTCTGTCAACCAGTATCAGACATTCAAACTCTAAAATTACTAGGTGGTGAGTTATATTCTTCTTCTTCTGCTTCAAATAACTGGAAAAAAAGAAAAAAAAAACCATGAATCTTTTACACGAGTTGAGGTTATTCAGATTCCCATTTATATCTATTGCAACAATTCCTGACTGACACATAGTAGTATTTATTTAAACAGTAAACGGCAACTCTTTCGCCTGACTTGACGACTGTAAAATACAAGCAGGTTTGCATGTCTTTTTTGCTCGAGACGAACAATCATACACGCACTGAACTTGTTTCCTCTCTCTATCGGTTCTACAGTGATGAGTCATCTCTTGATACTGCAGCAACAACGCACAGGAGCGAAAAAAAAACAAGAAGAGAACGTCCAAAACAAACAATAACAAAAAGGAAAAGAAAGGCAAAGAGAGAGATCAATATTGTTAAATGGAGAGACTGAAGCTAAACACCAAATGGTTCTCTACAGTAGCGAGCATATGGATTCAGTGCACCAGCGGTTCCCTCTATACCTTCTCCATCTATTCTCCAATTCTCAAATCCACTCAAGCCTACGACCAATCAACACTCGACACGGTATCTGTTTTTAAGGATATCGGTGCCAACTGCGGTGTCCTCTCTGGTGTTCTCTACACCTCCGCCACGTCCTGTAACCAAACCAGAATTCGTGGCGGGCCATGGGTTGTTGTCATGCTTGGCGCGATTCAGTGTTTCACGGGCTATTTTTTTATGTGGGCAGCTGTTACTGGTTTAATCCCTCGACCGCCGGTTGCGGTCATGTGTCTGTTCATGTTTGTAGCAGCACATGCCCAGACTTTCTTTAACACCTCTGATGTTGTCACCTCTGTACGGAATTTCCCTCACTATAGTGGCACTGCCGTCGGCATCATGAAGGTAAGGTACAATCAATTTCCACGTGAACTTTTAATTTTTGAGTAGACATGGGAGGTGGACTTAGTCACGATTTATAAAAGCTTCGTAAAACCAACCTACAACTTTAGCGTTTGAATTATTTTTTGGTTTTTAATTTATGTTTTCAGGGATTTCTTGGTTTGAGTGGAGCAATACTAATTCAAGTATATCAAACAATTTTCAACAACGAACCCAGCTGGTATCTTTTGATGTTGGCACTTTTGACTAGTATCAACCCTTTGTTGCTGATGTGGTTTGTGAGAATCCACGAGGTTGATGAAGGGGATATTGAGAAGAAATATCTTGATGGTTTGTCGATGGTTGCCTTGATTGTGGCAGCTTATCTTGTGAGTGTTATAATACTGGAAGAATTATTTAGTTTCCAATTGTTAGTGCGTCTAATATCCTTTGTCATGCTCATGGTGCTGCTTCTTTCGCCTCTTTTCGTTGCAATCAAAGCTTCCAAAAAGACTACTCGTGTAATGGATGAGTCTGAGCTTGCAAGAGAAGATCCTATTGATTACCATCGGTTGCCTAATGACAATGAAGGTGATGTGGATACCAATGAACAAGACCTGAATCTTTCGCAAGCTATGCGTACCGTGGATTTCTGGATTTTGTTTCTTGCCGTGGCTTGTGGTATGGGTTCAGGACTAGCCACTGTAAATAATATAAGCCAAGTAGGAGGATCTCTTGGTTACGCCAGGTTTGAGACTAATACCTTGGTTTCTTTGTGGAGCATTTGGAATTTTCTTGGCCGATTTGGAGCAGGGTACATTAGTGACTATTTCTTACGCGTGAGAGGATGGGCAAGGCCATTGTTCATGGCCATCACCCTTGCAGGCATGAGTATTGGTCATGTGGTGATTGCTTCTGGTTTACCTGGCGCTCTCTATGTTGGCTCAGTATTGTTGGGTGTGTGTTACGGTTCTCAGTGGTCACTATTGCCCACAATTACTTGTGAGATATTTGGTGTACAACACATGGGCACCATATTCAATACCATTACTATTGCAAATCCAGTTGGATCTTTTTTATTCTCTGTTGAAGTGATTGGGCATATATATGACAAGGAAGCATCAGGGGCAGGGAACAAGTGCAAAGGAACTCATTGCTTCATGTTTTCTTTTCTAATCATGGCATGTGCTACTCTTTTGGGATCTTTTGCTGCTATGGGATTGTTCTTGCGGACAAAAAGTTATTATAGTCAGGTTATTGTCAGAAGGTTACAACGCAAAGGACGGGTTAAAGTATGAAGACTGTAATAGAAGATGAAAAAATTATAGTAGTTATTAGCAAATGAAAGAAACTTATTCTGTTTTAGTTATCTGAAGAAAAGAGAGAAAAAGAAAAGGAACGGAACTGCTTGCACAGATCATGTTATCCTGGGATGCTAGGTGTTTTAGGAAGGAGATGGTGAAATGAATTCTATGTGAGATGCTGCCCCCTAATACCAATTAAATGTTCTTTTCCTTGCTATACAATAATAGATTTATGGCAAAATTCTCCATTCAAGCCTTAGATTTTCTGTGGCTAATGCATTTCATTTGATAGCATAGGAAACATGTGCTCGACTAAAGTCGGAGGTCGGAGGTTTATGTGATTATTCCAGAAAGGCCTGTCTGAGGTTGATCAGCATTTTTCCTTGCAATTATTGGCTATTAGGCAGACAACGTAGTGTTATGGGCATTGAAGCTGAGTTCTTTTTTTTTTTTTTTTTTTTTTTCTAAATAGGGCACTTTTAAATCTTTATTATCAAAAGAGGATAATTTTATACTTATTTATGAAAATGAGTATTTATTTGACACATAGGCATACGTGTCATTAAGTGATATGATTTTGTTTCAAATGCCGATTACTCCTTAGGATCCTCTCCATCTTGCTCGGGCATGACCTGACACGCATCACCTTTGTCCCCTTATCATTTATGCCATCAGATTCTAATATAGCTATTTTCAAATTGGTTATATTACTTTCTGATGATTGAAGCGCATCATTAGACTTTTTTCACATTTTGATTTAACAAATTAACAGAGTCTGCACAATCTGTATTCGTGGAATTAGATAAGTACTCCTTAACACAACCTCAGGAGCTGCCCAGTTGGTCTTGTTCGGAGTTATTGACATTATTGCTCTTCTGGGCATCAACAATCAGACTATTATTCAAACAAGTGCTTGATTTTCCCATATCCTCTCGACCATCAACAGATTTCTTGCTTCCTTCATCATTCTTAGATATTTCTGTTCCAGCAGGAAAAAAAAAAAAAAAAAAAGCCATGTAAATAGTACTCAAGCCCTAATTCATGCCCTTTAAAACTATAAGAACAGCAAAATCTAGAATCTCAAACCTTCGCAGCAAATTTGTTTGACGGTTTGATATTGTACGTGGTGATGTGAAGACAAGTGGAGGAGAATTGATACCTAGGAGTCCTTGTGCTATATGTGCAGCTTTGACATGCTTAATAGGGGATAGATTGCTTATGTAATTATAAAAGGTGATTCTTGGAAACAGAGGAAGTAAAGTGATTAGAATATCCCCATTTTTTTCCAATTAAGAATATCCACAGTACTGGATAATATGTACAGTAGTACTAGATAATATGTACAGTAAACTTTTTGGAGAACCCTCCATTTTCGTGAAAAAGACATGCATGCCACTAAGGTTACTAAGGTAGAAACATTAATGTCTTTTGCAATTTGAGGTTTTACATAGTGAAACTTTTGCTTCATCTTAATTTTACCATGGATATACATAAGATATAAATGAGTCCAAATCATATAAATTACGTGTTGTTATCAATTTTCTTTCATTTTTCACTATTGTGCATTCGGTCTCATCTTCTCAATTAATGCTCTTGTTTTATACCATTTTAACTCCTTTTTAACCTAAATGTTAGGACATATTTCAAGGATGAATGCAGCTTATGGATGCCTCTACTTGACTGGGTGATAGGTGCGAAGTCTCTATCTGCATCTCACCTTGTTTGTGTATTTATTCAAACAACATACTTAGGAAATCCTTCTTCGGAAGGATTGCACAAATAGTTGTTTCTTGTATCGTAATTCTAATTTTGTTCATCATTTTCTGCAGCGTTGCTCTACTATATAGCCTTTTTTTAGGCAAGAAATTGTTTATTTCTTTAATTTTGAAACATAGTTCAATACTAGAGATAACATAAAAGATGACACAACTTGATTGTTTTTTGAGAATTTCCTATATAGCATATACTTCATGGGCCAAAAGTTGTCTAGGGAACAAAATTATATTTTTGATCTACAAATTTGTGGAAAAAATGATAGAAGAAAAGTGCTTTTCGCTTTAGCTTATTTACTTGGTTTCTAGCCGTTGATATAATATAAGAGGACACTAATTTCTAGCTGGAGAAAATTTGAGGTTTAACCGTTGATATAATATAAGGGGACACTAGTTTCTAGTTTGAGAAATTTTGAGGTTTTCATTGCTTTTAATTTACCATACAAAGATGATGAAAAAAGTATAATAATATGATCGAAAAAGATAAGAATGCAAGTGATAAAAAGGAAAAAGTAAAAAAGTGAAAATCATCTATTCTCATTGGTGCAAAGTCATGGGATGATGAGACAAACATGATGGAGTTAAAGAAGATAGTTCGTAATATTGAGATGCCTAATCATTTTTTTGGAGAGCATTAAAATTGATTACGGTTGATTATTAAATCATGCTTAATATTAGAGAAGAAAGCAAATTGATTGCTATGAGAAAAAAAATGAAGTTAATAAAAAATATCTTATATGGTAAAAAAATATCTAATTTAAGAATTAAGTTTAAAACTAACATATTGAAAGAATAAAGAACTAACACATTGAAAGAACAAAGATTTATAAATATCCTAGTTACGTAAAAAAAAACTCCATTGAAGCTTGGGTAACAATATCTTTCTTTCGTTCTTTCTTATCGGAATATGAAACTTTATTTCAAATAAAAACTACAAAAGCCCAAGGAGCATGCTACAATAATTGCCGCCAATCTACCACGAGGATTACTTATCCAATCCCGAGGAAAACTAGAGCACCTAGCGAGCTTTTGATGTGCGATCTGTCGCTACATTTACTAATCCTCTTACAAAATAAATATTACAAAAATAAAAACAACTCATGATTGATTTTGCATCATCAATAATAGTAGAAATTCCTAACTAACAATATTTGCCAAAAAAGAATATGCATATGCATAGTAAACACATAGCCGACACCCATTAATAGGAGGTGAGATCTTTTTCTTTGTATTTTTATAGGAGTTAAGTTTGACCAAGAGAGCAGGAGGACCTCCTCGTTATTAGATGACCAATAAATCACAATAGGGACATTTGAAGGGGAAGTCTAGAATGCCTATATTTCTATGCTTGTTTGTAATTTGTGAATCCTCTTAGTTGAAGAAAGGCGAAAAAAAAAAAGGTGGATAAGAAAGTCATTTTAATCGCCAATACCGAAAATGAGATAATGTATTCTAAGAGCTATGAATAATTTCTTTGGTAGTATTAAGAATCTATTCTCATTTATTTATTTATTCTTTTTTTAACAACAACAAGATTTGAGATTTTGATTGATAAAAAAAGAAAAATCAAATACAAATAATTACAAAACATAATAAAAAGAGCAAATTGACAATTTATTAACTTCACAACTCAAACCACAACAAGTAAAACTCTCAATTATGACAATAGTTTACAAAAGAGCATAACAAAAGTATAAGAATAACCTAAGTTATTGTGACGAGTATTTTCTTTAATATATATTCTATTATATTTATGATCTTAGGATTATTTAATTAATCTAGGTTATGTGATTATTATGTGATTTTTTTAAAGCACTTCCTTAGAGATTAAGTAGTTTTACATGGGATATAGAATATAAATCTTTTTTTTAGAAGGATTTAGAGCTTTAACTAATGCAAATAGATTGCTAGGGTTATTTTATAATTGTTCTTTGTTATTTTATAAATCTATTCAAATACTAGAATTTTATTTCTTGTGAAACCTAACTATTATCATATTCCATGTTATTTTATCCTAACTTTAGCCACTATTTTGCTGTAATATTTTCATCTTCTCACACTATGTCAAATTGGTAGTAGAGCAAAAAGATCGTTAGGATTTTGTTGGGATTTCAATCCTTTAACCAAATATATATGATATGTTAAAGGTTGTTGAAGGAAAAAATAAGGTAGACAAACAATATTGGTCGGATAAATCGTACAATTGAATGTTTATTATGCACTCGTTGATGTTTGCAACAATAGGAACTAGTGGGAACCCGAATGGAGATCTCGTAAAGGTGATCATGACCTCTTAGACATTACCAAAAGGAGGTCATAACGACGAAAACTCCTTTCACGATGCTAGAGCCATAAACCATATGATATGAGGTGGATTGAAAAGTTGAACGAACTTTGCACTTTAATGAAGGAAGAGAGTTGAAGAGCAAAAAGTACAAAAAAATGAACAATTCATTGAGAAATAAGAATGGCATGGCATCAAGAATGACAACGAGTGATAGTGATGATGTCAACAATGGTGTCCTCCATTTAGGAGTGCTCGTTTGATTTTTTAATTCGATTTCGAAATATTTTAGACGATTTTTTATTAACCAAATTAAAAAAAAAAACCGAATTGAAATATTATTCAGCTTTTTCCGTTTAGTTTTGAAATATTTCGATTTCGAGTTTAATATAAAAAGGTTTTTCCTCATTTTATTTTATTTATTTATTATTATTTTTGAAAATCTAAAAAAATATATATATGTTTGATTTTTGAGATCTAAAGCTGTCTTTTAGAATATTAAAATATGTAATTATGTTGATTATTCATTACTAAATCTATGTAAGTACTTAGATGGAGAATATAGTAGTAGCCAATAGACATTTGTGTGCATAAATATGTTGATTATTCATTATCGCATCAAATTCAATGCCACCTTGAAAGTTGCACTTTTGTATGCATTAGGCATTGTCTCAAAACAAGGAAGAATACAACCTATGAAATTCTTGTTTTACCTTGGCAAAACACCATGATGTCGGATCAAGAGATGTTAAGCCTTACGAAAGATCAAACACACAATTAACAAACAAGTAGCCTTAGGTCAAAAAAATCAAGCTATAAACTAGGCTTAATTATACTCTAAACAACCCTCAAACACACAATCAAAGGCCTAAATCACAATCAAAGGCCTAAATCACAACCAACAAGATCCTTAACACAAACACAAACAAAAGCACACA